CATGTCTGCACTCACATCACCATTGCTTTATCTTGGGGGGAAAAGGCTGGATCAGGCATGTGGATGACAAATCATATATATGCATGGAGTCGCAGAAGATGAGTACTGTATTTATTCTTTATGGTCTTATGGGATGAATTGGATTCAGCACCCTTCCAGTCCGAGATTAGGCATGGAATTCAGGCCTCCCACTTGGAAAACATACAGATTCTGTATTGTTCTTAGTCAAGTCTTCTGACATCAATATATTTTGTAAAAATATTTTTAGCTTAATTAACTTCATCATCAAGATGAAAAATGTATGTTAACCATAGATTATTAGATTGGTCTCATTCTTTTTAATTAAATTTTGGGGAAAACCAAAAGGGACAGGAGCTGCAGAGACTCAGTCATGTATATGGCTAGGAATCCCTACTTTGATTTGAAGGTAAAGACCGTATTAGCACAACTGACCTCCAAAAAAACATAAAGAAATCACATTTGATTATCTTTAGCTGACAATTGTGTGCACATTGCATAAGAAAACATCACCCTTTTCACTTTTATAATGTGGTGAATATTCTAATAACTCTGCTTCTGATGTATGAGAGAGTGAGAGGGAGAGGTCACTTAAATTTTGTTCCATTGCTAACAGTTTCAAAGATGTTGGCTTCTCAACCTTCACAACTACCCTCTTCAAAGGACTAGTTTTGGGTTGAATTTTAATTACGGTTCCCAATAAAAAGTAGTTGGATGCTTATGCTGACCACAAAACACAAAGCAAACATCTTCCATTGTCTGGTGCAACTACTCTTGCCCTCGTTTGACTAAATTACTTCCTCTCTTTGGATTTTCTATCAGTATTCTGTGCTTTTGGTATACCTTTTTCTCCCTCCTGGAACTCATCATCCCTCATTGCCATTCCTCCCTATGTCAAAAAAAATGACCACAGATGCATGCTAATACTCTAATCTAATGTACAGAAAAAGGTGAAAACAAGTGCATCAAAATCTGGAATCCTCCCTGTAAACTATGTTTCTGTGTCTTACACGCATGTGTTTATCCCTTCACGCTCCGCATACATCAACTGGCATACGTGTTCAGTTTGAATCCAGCATGTATACGTAGACAGACAGCAAAACCTGGAGGAAGATACATTAGAAAATCTTATCTTGTCTTGTGAAAACTAAGTTGTATCATCATGACTTCCACCAATACAACTTAACATAAAATAAGACTAAGATAAGCTCCCTTTTCATCTAAATTTATGTTTATTAACTAATCGATACACAATTATTGATATCATTTGCTGTTATGATGGTCATCATTTGATTAATTATGGGTTAAGTTAAGACTAAATTAAGTGATGGCTTAGAGGAAGACAATGTTATGTTAAAATTTTACCGACATTGGAATCTAAGGCACTGGTTTGGTGGATGAAAGGAACATGTTAAAAAAGTGCCGACGGCTGATGAATTGGAAACTTCCATGTGTCAAAAAGTTTGTGGTCGCCGAATTCTGACCACTAATTTTTCTTCCTACTGCTTGTTGGGGATGAACATGAGCTTAAAGTTGAAGAATTGTTAGTGTCGCTAATTAATTTAATTAATTAACTCCTCAAGCCCTCTCCATTTCAATCCCTCTCAAGAAATTGTTGAATAGGATTGTCGGCGTAAGGAAAACCTTTCAATCAATTCTTTAGCAGCAGCCTCTTACTTTTTGCAAATCTGATCATCTACCACAGTTTTGGTGCCCTCATTTATTTCTTGAGAATCAATTAAGGTTCTCATTTTAGCCGTGAATAATATATTAAATCACCAATGATAAGAGAGTAGATTACATCATGGAAGAATTATGATTTGAATGATATAAACACTAATGTTATTTTTAAGGGTCATATGAATTTTAGCTCAAAGAATTATTATGTCAAAAAAAATTTAAAATATTTCATAAATATATACATATAACAATGTCATTATTCTTTACGTATGATTTTAGAACATGAGGGTAGGAGTGAAAGCTTTGGTTTTATATGGCATTGTGTAATGTGACAACCATAGCATCACTCAAAGATTCCTTTTGGAGAATTTTCAATGAAACTAGTTAGATATATTTGCTGATGTTTTATAATTCATGCTATTCACTGGTCTTATTTGATATAGGTATTAGATAGCCATCTATGTTTTATTTGTATTTGTATTGACATGTGAAAAGTTAATTCTAGGGATAAGATTGTTTAGTTGAAGCATGTCCGCTCCTCTCCAAATGACAAAAAGTCAGCCTTTAAAAAGGACAAAAGTGCAACCGCAACAACTGCTCCATCAAAGGAATATGTATTTGAGCATTTGTTTATATGTCATTGACTTTTGTTTTGCTATTTTAATTTTGTCGATGGCCACATATGACAATGTCACCAATTTTAGTGGGGCAATAAAAAATGAGGCTGCTATTGAGATTGTTGTGTACTGTTGTAATTGTAATTTTTTAAATATATTTTATTATCATAAAATGATATTATTGTTTGATAATTACTTCAAAAAATATGTTATATACATTAATATTAATTTAATTATAATAAATTAATAATTTTTAATGAAATACTATGTAAAAAAGCACTATAAGACTCCAAAACACAACCTCAAGAATGTAAAACTTATTTTTTTGTTACACAATGAGAGGCAATTCTCTTTTATCTCTTATCTCGTTTAATTTACGTGTTATATGATTCAAATTTAAAATTTTTTACTTTTAGCGAAAATAAATTACCACTAAACTAATAAACTCGTTGGCAAGAATAATGTAAAACTATTGAAATTGGGTTTTCAGTCATTTTCAAGGGTGGGATGAATTTTGCAGGAAAATGCGTTCATTGTGGTTCAATATCATAAGTTCTTTTCGTTTTTCTTCTCCTCGTTCTTAGAATGTTTGTGGCTTTCTGCTCTGTTTTTCATATTAGGAAAAAGGAAAAAATGATTTGTTTCTTGTTTTGCATTTTTTTCTGCTTGAGTAACGTTTTTAACAAACAGAAAGGACCTCATCTATCTTGTGTCGAAATGATTTGGATTACTTGTGTTTATTTTAAAAGACTAGGACTACATTGCAAATGACCTCAAATGTCTACGATTTTATTTTTAAAATTTTTCTTTATCATTTTATAATCAAGTAGGAATTGGGAATAGAGTAATAAAAATATTCTTATATATGTAATAAAAAAATTTTTGCACGATTTGAATTATACAATTTAAACTGATAGATAGGATGTAATTTTTTAATATTAAACATTGTTTTTCACTCAACAATTCCTATTTTAAGGTGAGAGGAAATAAGCAGGAGAGAAAAATATGAAGAAAATACTTTT